AGGCACCAAGGAAAATCTAGTTTGTCCCTTAATTCCCAGTGCTGGTCCAAATAAGCATCGTCACTTTTATCCTTCCATTTTGTGAACATAAGCACTTTTTCATGAGCTGCTGCAGGAATGATCCCAAGTAGTAGTCTAGAGACACCAACAGCACTGGTGTCCTCTCTTTGGCATTGCCAAATATTATGATAGGCCTAGGATGGTCTAAGCAGGATTATAGTTCTTGGACTGCAGTAACATGGGGACCTGAAGACAGGGAAAGGGGGCTGTGCAAGGTTGAAAAGCGTGCCCAGTGTTAATAAATCTTTTCCACTGGAGTTCAAGGCTTACTGCTGCCCTCACCCTTCACAGCACACTGTCTAACTGCATGCATGGACGTGTGTCCACCCATCTACATGCATAGCTTGCTTGCAGCACTGCCCCGGGGATTCTGAGAGCTGCACACACAGCTGTGGGTAGGGGAAGCCTCTGTACCATGGTCCTATGCCCCCCTCCTCTCTGTGGAGTGGGCAGGAAACCTTGAGGGGCACTGTAATGTGACTAAAGCTGGCTTCCATGCTGGGATGGAGGCTTGCCCTCTAGAACTTTGGCAGGTCGTTCTCCTAGATCCACTGGGCAATCACAGTGCAGATCTCCCATGCCTTGCACCTGGCAGTGGTGGGTGCTGGGCAGTTCAGAAGGCAGGGGGATGCGCAACAGTGAGGCTGGTTGGCAGTCTCAAGGGATGCCAGGGACAAGATAGGAATGGGGACGAGGGCAAGTACCTTGCTGGTAATGCCCTGCGCATAGCCCATGTGCTCTTCTCGTGTCGGGGCAACTTTCCAGAAAGTTTCTAGAAAAGCAGTGGCGGGGCAGCTTATTGGTAATCCTTTTGTGAACCGCAGTGACCAGATAGGACTGCCAAGCCCAGCTGAGTCCCACGTTGTTCCTGAAGGAAGCACAGTGTGCTTCTTTACTGCCGCCAACATCCCAACGCCACAGGTGAGCAGCTAGAAGGCAATGGGAGGCCTTTAAGGCAGGAGGGAGTACAGAGCAGCCAAGTAGTGTGGCTGGAGCTGATGCCTCAGTTGCTGGGCAAATTCGGATAGCGGAGGGTGCAGGCAAGAGCATGTACTCCAGCAGCAGCCACTCTTTCCAGCATATAGCAGCCTGTTTCTGGGTCCACGTGTTCGAACAAGCCATAGTGAAGTGCGGAACGGGCCACTGTTTTACTCTGTCACTACATGGAAATCAAACATACTATGTTATAAGTCTCTGACAGGTTTCCAGCAGCACGACAGACCATGCCATGATGGTTTCCACTGTGATTTAGTGTTACATCTGTGCCTCAGCCTAACCTACTTCACAGGGCAGTTGCAAAGATGTAATGGGAAAGAACAAAGTGCACAATGCTGAGGTTCCCAGAGGAAGACAGGATAAAATGCCATACATAGTACATGCATGGAGCAGTGCCTTCTGCCTCACCTGCATTCAGTTTTGAGTAACTGAGGTATCTAGCTAGCTCTGTCTTAAAAGTATCTCCTGTTTGTTCTTTGTTATTTAAGTGAATAAATTTCCATTTGACTTTGATGGACTCCAGAAAGTAGGGGTTGGTTTACAATTTGCACTCCAGTTTCAAATTACTTAAATGACTAGAAAAAATACTTTAAGTGACTTTTTATGCCAGCTGGTAGTTTTGCAACACTTTGTGGAATTATCCAGGTAAAGCGAATCTTTCATAGTGGTGATCACATTCATTTTACACAATATTCTTTTTATAAATCCATCTAATTCAAACCATCTTGTGCACTTTGATCAGGGGACTGGGAGGGTCGGAGAGGGGAGTTTAATAATTCTCAAATCCAAACAACCCATCCTATCCTATTTGAGCCAATTAGGGTAATCCATACCCAGATGCAATTAAGGGGAACAGGAAATTTCAAAAGACAGAGGAAAGGAGGGAGAGGGCAAGCAACATTCTGTATTTGCTTATTAAACTAATGAGAAAGCAGAATCTGACTCTCAGGGAACTCTAATATAACTGTCAATAACTGCAATTTCAAACCTTCTATCACAACTTAAAAGTGAGATATCCATCTGTCCATAAGAACCTACCTTTCTTGTTTGCAAATCTCTGGTGAATAAAGTAAGTAGGTATTTTTCCCTAGTCTTGCCTGTGGTGTTAACTTTTTTCATTAATAATATTTTTGTGGGTTAATATAAAGTGCTGTGATGCTTGCTTGTTATATGCTGCAGTACTAACTATTCCTTTAGCAAAGAAGTCCCAAAAGCTTATCAAGTGAGAAACCAGTTGATGAATTTCTATAGCAGGGCCATAAAAGTTAATTGAATCAAAATCCTATTTCTGGAGCGTGGACTGTAATGAGGTAATAGCTACTGCAGGGCAGGCTCTCTGCTTCTCCATTAAGATTCCTTGTGTTGTTGAAGGAACCTATAGGGAACACTTGTGCTCTCTCTAAGACGAAGCTTGCTAAACGTTTCTCACTCACAGGACCTCAGCATCTAGTCTGGTAGGACACAAGGAAGATCTAAGCTAGAGGGCTGTGCTGTGATGCATTGTGAAACTAGCCCTGGATCCAACCAAGGCCAAGGTAATTTGTATGTATTTAGCAAACATATGTTAACATGGCAACTATATTCATTAAGTGTGAGAACCAGGGAAAGTGGGCTGTGACATGAATCTGTAATCTAACTCTCACTGGGCAAGGCAGGAGCCACATGAGGACAATGGCAACCACACTACAGGAAGTACTCCCTGAAGTAACCCTCCAGAAGGAATGGCTCTCCCAGCAAAGGGTTGGGGTCTCCTGAGACACCAAGAAGGCTGCCAGAGTCTTGTCTTCCAGTGGCTGCAGCTCTGTTTGGTTCTGAGTGTAATTCGTAAAGGGCCAGTGTCTGTTCCTGCAAGTCTCAGGTGCCTACGTGCCTGAGGGAGTCATGCTCAGTGTCCGATGAAGGAAGAATGTTCTCAGGCCAGGCCAGTATAAATAGGGCTGTTGAGGGTGCTGCTGGAAATGGAGTGACCTGCCTGAATCCCAGGCCCCCCTCAGGATAATTTGGAGCGGGCACTTGTTGAGGGTCATGAGTTTCAAGTTCTGTGAGAAAGTCTAGTGAGCTGATATGGGAGTGGGAGGGATCAGATACGCTAGATCAGTGATGGCAAACCTTTTAGAGACCGAGTGCCCAAACTGCAACTCAGAACCCACTTATTTATCGCAAAGTGCCAACACTGCAATAAAACCTGAATTTGCTGACCACCAGAACAAGGGGGCAAAATTTCACTGACTACCAGCTTTTGGCCAGACCTGAAAAAGGCATCTGAGTGTATTTCCTACCTTTCCTACCTTCTGCTAAAATCACAGTGGGTTGTGCAGACTCGAATGAGCAACCATTCGATCAACCAGCCCAGCGGCACAGCCATTCAAACCACTGCACCACCTGCATCCTGCTAAAATCACAGTCTGTGCAAATTCCTGGCAGTTCACTGACTGACCATGGGAAAGCTCTGCTAGACAGAACTGATGAGTGAGGTTGTTGCCTGGCACACTTAATCTTTCTGAATAAGCGCATAGCTGCTGGGGTGATGGAGTAGGACAGAGAGGGCTCTGCGTGCCCCTTTGGGCACTCATGCCATAGGTTCGCCATCACTGCTCTGGGTGATAGGCCCAAAACAGCATGATCCATGATTAAGCTGGAGTCAGCTCTTTTTGGTTTGGAAGAGAAGAAAAGTATTCAGTTTGGAATAAACTTTGCATCATTAAGCCACTATACTCTAGTGGCTGGTATTCTAATTTTGCTTTTTTTTCTTTTGTTATTGACTCTTGCAATTCTCTTGTTTCGTATTACAAAGCCAGCCTAGCAAGTCAGCTTTAACATAATAAAGGCTTTTAGTTAGACTGTCTTTGTCTTTCTCAGCTTGGAAGGAGGAGAAGATCCCCAGTATTTTGTATTTTGACCACAGCAGTTTTCTGGGATCTCAAGTCAGGGTTCATTCTTATTATCTGTTACCGGATCCTTTCAACTGAATATGCTGTAAACTGAACCTGGCACTTTCTGCATGCAAAGCATGTGACCTACCATGGAGCTCTCCTCCTCTCTTCAAATTTCAGATCCTGAGCAGGTGGGATCTGCTGCAATGTGGCCTCTTGTCATAAAAATCCCTCTTGTAGTCATAGCAATAAACACTTGTCCTGGATGCTGGGCGTATGCTGCATATTCTTGTTGCAGGCCTCACATGTGCCAAATACTAGGGAAAAATCCTGGGAAGCCTTTTTATTTATTTATTATTTATTTAGAAAATTTCTAGGCTGCCCCATTCACCGAAGCCTCGGGCGGCTTACAAATAAATAAATTAAAATACATAAATAACAATATAAAATACATGTAACTGTATAAAATAAGTCTCCCTGGCCAAAAAAACTTTAAAATAAAAATAACCATTAAAATGATGCTTGAATAAAAAGGTCTTTCCTGTCAGTTTCCAGAGGTACTTGACTAGTCACTGTTGGAAATGTACACTGAATACCTTGGATTGATCTGGCTGTATATACATGCATGCATGCATGCATACATACATAAACATACATGAAATTTAATTTTGCGATAAAGTTGAAAATGCAAGCAATAAAAAAGGAGGAAGACACAGCAAGACAAGAAGACCACAATCAAAAGGGAAAGGGGAAGTACATTCCCCAGTTTATGGTTTGAAGAAAGACTTATTAACTACTGAGTGGGGTATCTAAGACAGCAAGTCTTTACCTTCTCACCTGGGACTAACTAAGTGGGACTTACTTCTGAGTAGACTGACACAGTGCTGCATTGTAATTTGTCCTTGGCTTCTTGTGTGTGCATCTGAGAAACAGTGTTTCTTCAGTGCCTCTTCTATGAAACACCAAAACCACAAAAGAGGTGACAGACAGCTTCCTCCCTGAGAATTAGCTAAGACTGGCTGCTGGAGCTCAGCTTAGAGGAAAGATATTTGCTGCTTCCAAAGGAAAGCAGTTTGTTAGTTTGTTTGAGTAATGGGATCCCCACAGTGCCTGTCCATTGTGCTGCTCCTCCTGTTCGGTGAGTTTCCTAAAATGCGTTTATCCTTCATAAGACTATAAGGACTACATGGGTCAGACCAACCAGAGTCCATTGCAACCATCTGGTCTTCTGCAGTGGCTTACCAGGTGACTTCTGGTGCAGTTGTGTATAGGCCTATTCTCCACGGGTTCTTTTTCACTTCTGGTTAGTGATGAGTTACATAGCATCTGAAGATTAGATCTTTGAAGTGGGCAGAGTTAAAGAAAGCTAATTCTGTTTATTGTTAAGGTGCCACAAGACTCCCATGCTTTTGCTGCAAAGCATTAACATGGTTAGCCCTCTGGAATAACTTATTGTATCGTTTTGCTGCCTGCACGGTCTCAGTCTACAGCCGCTTGTGTGTTTTATGTGGAACATCAGGGTCATACCATCCTTTTCACTTTGTGCTGATAGTTGCTCTTGCGGCTTTTCCCTCTTTAATTCAATAGAGGAAGTCTTACATTTTTTCCTGACATTGCTTTGCTGGGGGGAGGGGGGAATGCTTAAAGGCTTAAATAGTGTGCAGTCATATTTGAATTCATGGTTTTCAAGTTTTGATTGATTCCCCCCCCCCGTCTTGTAGAGTTTTATCAACAGAAATCTAATCACTGATTTTTTCCCCTTTGTGAGCAGCCCATACTTCCATTGTTACTCAGCTTCCTTGCAAATAAATCTAGTTTTGATGTTGTTATCTTAAGTGCTAAGGAGAGGAAATGCTACTACACTTGTGTTATGTGTGAATCTCTGGCTGAAATATGTACCTACAAATTGTGAATTCAGAAGTTCATTCTTCCTGACAATTAACATTCACAAAATCAGTCTGGGGGATTAAAGTACTGAGCCAGTTACATCTAAAGTATTCATCTCTCATAATAAGACCACAGTGCCCAGTTTTAATTAAGTCACTGCTGATATACATATAGTTTTAACTTTAATAAAAATAAGTGTTTTATTAATTCTTATTATTGGTTGTATATGATAACATCAGATTTTATAAGCTCAGTTTGGTCAACCTTACAAAAATAAAATAGGTCTACCACAGTGAACTATAAAAAGCTGGAAGGTGCAAGTTAAAATAAATGTACAGCAATAAAAGGCAAGATTAGACAAAATTCTAAAATTCAGCTTCCCGTATTAGTGAATTCTGCTGTTTTTTAAAATGTCAAAGAATCTCCAATTTTGAATTTCACACATTATTGTTGCCTTATTGTAGTTTGTTCAAAACACAAACTTTTGCAATCTGCTCTCTTGGTCCTTGCTCCAAAGCAAAGTTCTAGAAGAACTTGCTATATCATGCTTGGGGAGGCTGATGACTTTCGTGTCAGTGGGGCACCTTCTCCATTGCAACTTTTATTTTGAGTACTATAGGAACTTTTCATGCTGCTCCATGATATAGAGTGAACCTCCAGTGAACCTGACTGGGGTGGAGTTCAGCACCTAAGAGCTGCAATGGAGTAGGATGTCCATGAATGTAGAAGACACCAGCCTCCCCTGGTTATAACTAGGTTGATTAACCCTTCTGCTATTTTATGGTTTGCACACAGATCTCTGTGCAGGGAAGAGGATGGTGTCCATTCAGAAGGGACGACTTTACAGAGCAAGAGGCTACCACATCACCATCTGGTGTAATGTCACTGGCTACCAAGAACCGCAAGAGCAGAATTTCCAGTGGTCTATTTACCTCCCATCTGCCCCACAAAGAGAACTGCATATTATCAGCACTAATGATGTCGATTTTACTTATGCTGCCTACTCCCAGCGTGTTGAAAGAAGGGAAATCTACATAGAAAGGCTCCAAGGGGATTCTGTTCTTCTGCACATCACGGACCTCAAGGACAAGGATGCTGGGATGTACGAATGTCACACACCCAACACACACCCAGATGATGAGTACCTTGGAACTTACAGTGCCAAAATGAATCTCTCAGGTGTGCAAAAGAACATCTTGTCCATTCCAACATTATTTATATATGCAACCCCTCATTATTCTCAGAAGCAACACTGTGAGGCAGGTTAGGTGAGGACAAGCTTCACAGAAGAAGGGAACTTGAATGTGCAACTTTCTGACCCAAGCCCCACATTCTTCCCGCCCACCACAAAATGCTGGCAAACCACAATTGTTCTTTGGAGCTATTATATGGCTCCTTATATAAAATAATCCCTTTCCTGTTAAATAAATCCTACCTCTTTGTCTTGCCCCCATTCTGTTCAGTTGCCCACTGGTTATTTTCCCAATCTCTTTTCTGAAATCCCCACATACCTTGTTAGGGGCCTGACTTCCTTTACCCTCATTCATCTCATGCACCACTGAACCCAGGCCCCATAGTTCCCTCCCCAACAAGGGTTTGCTGACAGGGGAAATGAGGTTATATGGATATATTTCTTTTGTTTCAGTAATTCCAGACATGCTCTCTGCCACTATGAAAAGTCAGGCAATCCTCCGAAATCAAGGGGAGGCGGTGCAACTCGTTTGTGAAGTATCAACAGGAACAGCCCAGCACACCCACCTCTCAGTTGCCTGGTACCTTCTTCAAGAAGGAGGTGGTGGACAACCCCAGAAGATCATTTCCTTGTCCAGAGAGTTTGTCTTACTTCCAGGCTCTTCCTTTGCTCAGCGGTTTTCCTCAGGAGACATCAGGCTAGACAAAATTGGGGGCAATGCATATAAACTGTCCATTACCAAACTGCAGTCCTCAGACCAGGGGGAAGTGTATTGCGAAGCAGTGGAGTGGATTCAAGATCCAGATGAAACTTGGAAAGATATTGCCCGAAAACAGACAGACAAGACTTCACTGACAATCAGAAGCATGGGTAAGATCTGTATCTCCTAGTGGGTATGCAGCTGTCTTTTTAAAAGAGGGTAGCAGCTTGATGTGAGCCTGTGGGAGAATGTACTTGGGTGCATTTTCTGCAAAGTACTTAAAATTGACTTGATCCTCCATTTTATTCCAAATCTTCTAACACAGCTCTGGCAAGTTCAGGGGTTTTAACATGTGGGTAAAGTTAATTTAATTTACAGCTGAAGACCTCTGTGTACCCAGCTGTAGTGCTAAAAAGTAACCTTATGTATAAATGAATCCATTCTCTTCATGCACCAGGCGATTAACTCATCTCTACACAATCAACTACTCTGTGAGAAAAAAGCATTAAAAGAAGAGGGTTTTGTCTTTTTTAGAAAATGTGTTGCTTGAAGGCATGCCATAACAGATTCATGAAACCTGTGGAAGAATGAAACAGAAACACAACTTATACGCAAGCAGAGAGGAGCCATCTTCTGTGTCAGTTGAAGGTGCAAGTACATGGGGACACTGCAGCATAAACCAAGAGATGACTGAAGGCCTGCAGGGCTGAACATGTGTGTGCGCGCGCGCGTGCACGCACACACACACACAGAAACTGCAGGCTCACTTCTTTCACTGCTGCATTTGCTACAGCTGTGCTGGTACTGGCAAGGTCCTCCTGCAGTTTTAGTGTGATTCTGTTCCTGGGAATGAGCAGAAGACTGGCTGATTTGGCTTTGGCTCCTTGAATTCCAGTGGTGGCTAGTTTTGCTTCACTTCGACAATGGTGTGCCTATGGATCATGGAAATCACATTGAGCCTCTTCCCACTGAAAAAGAGACCCAGGTTCTCCATAGCAGGGTCCCTGCCAAAGCAGATTACACAGCACGTAACACAGCTGTGTATCATAAGGGTGTGGGAGAGAAATACAAATGCCAGTTCTCATCTGGTGTTGGCCTGAGTGCCAAGTTCCCTGTGTTACTGCCTCATTATAGTGAGACACAAGATCAGTGCATCCAGCTCCTGCGTCCAAAATTCTAGGATAGATCAGACTTCTCCAGTCTCCAGATGTTTTGGACTGCAACTCCCATCAGTCCCCACCTGCATCACAGGGATGATGGACATTGAAGTCCAAAGCAACTGGAGCGTGACACTTTGAGGGAAGTTAGAGTGTATCAGTGCACATAACATTCATTTGAAATCTAAGTACTTCTTCACTCAGTTCCTCCTTAGTCTCAGTGTGTTCAGTTATGATCTGTTGAGCTCCGTTGTGGTGATGGGCATTGCAAAAATGCATTTCTTCGTCACCAGGGACCTGCAACCTAAATTAAGCAGTGCACACTTCAGAAGCCCTGTGCACACAATCTCAAGAGGAGACATGCTTTTTTAACCCTGCTTCCCAGTCAAAACTACACAGTTTAATGATTCACATGGCTCATGCAAGAGATTCAGCAAATATTTGTGAATGGCAAACGTTTGCTCGTGATTTCTGCTCTGCATTATTTATGAGCCAGCATTCATGGTCTTGGATAATTTATGTGCAGTAAGCAATTAGACAGCTCTCTCTAAGATTAGCTTCCGTGTCTAGGTCTTTCAGTGCATGGAGAAGACTCTCTGAAATTCCATGGTTATATGGGAGGAACACTTTCCCTTTCTTCTGAGACACTGAATACTCACACTTTCAGTGGGGAAATAACTAAGAAATCTACCCTTTCTTTTTTGTCTTAAATAGTTATGGTCTATTTCCAAAGAATGAAAGGAAGTATCAGCTTACTGCCTCATCAATGAATGCTGTAGAAATTTAGATAGGATTGATTCACCTGTTTTCCCCACATCTGCTTTTTTAAAGAATTAAAAAGCAAATTATTAATAGAATCTGTTCATGCAGGCATCCATTCATTACTTTCAGCTGTCCATGCCACAGACAAACCAAAAAGATGAAATACATTAGGATATGGGTGCAAGGTTGGACCCTCCAACACCACATCCACAAAATACGTGGAAGATTAATCACATTCAAACAAAGCTGCCAAGCCGGCTGCATTTATTAACCAGGTAAGCAGCAGTGCAGAAGCAAATTTTGAAGCACAGGTGTTCCTTATGACAGTCCCAGCAGCTGCTCCTCCAAAGAACGTAAAAAAAAGTAAAAGTAAAGCAGCTGCATGGATCCATATAGCAGTTTCCGACCATCAGGAGTAGGTCTTTGTGAAGTGAATAAGTCTTGCTTATTCAAGGTATTCCAAGGGTCTTGACACTGCTACAAGCACACCATTGCTGAAGACATTCATTTCCTCCCAGTTACTGTATGGATTGTGAGGAAACAGGGAAATCTGAGGGGTGGGTGGCTTGGCAGATGATGTCAGTGTCTCTGCTCATTAAAAAAAGTGCCAGGATTTTGTTTTGTCCCTTTGTACCCTGCCTGTTACACCACATCAAGTAGGGTAATAGAAAAGGCAAATGCAAAAAGCACACACAGAGCTGCTGCTGCAAATGTATCCTCTCCAAACTGGAATGGTGAGGTCAGCTTTTCCCAAGCAAGAGCCCTTCAGGTTTGTGGTCCCATTATCTTGGATGGCTCTAGTGTGGGAGAGCCCACAATCTCCCTAGGTAAGTTGTGTTGGTTTCCGAAGAAGGCCAAGGGGAAGGTCGATGGTTCCAAAGAAGTACTATGAATGAAGAGAGGTGCAGGGTTTTTGAAATACAATATTTTATTCCTGTGCAGCACCACCCCCTTCTACATCAAGCAGAAAATGTTTGCCAGTGAACTTCTGCCAGAGTCCTACCATAGAAAATACCTCTAATTCCAATGGAGTTACTGGCTGAAAAGCAGAACTGAGCTTGTGTACAAAGGATGCCTGTTCATTTGTATTTTCACAGATAAAAACGTTTATGTGAATATCTCTGTTGCTGAGAGCTCTCTTCTGGAAGGAGAAGCCTTGCAGATCAATTGCTCCATCCAAGCTCAGAACGCTCAACGCCGACAGTTCCAGATGGTTTGGCACCAGCATGGTAGGGTGGTGGCTAGCGCCGATCAGTATGGGGCCTTGTCCTTTCAAAGCAACAGTGAAGCACGATTCAGTGCAGGAAATCTCCTAGTGATGAAGCAGAGCAATGACAAGTACATCCTCAGAATAAGGCAAGTGGAGCTGAAGGACGAAGGCACATATCACTGCAAGGTTTCTGAAATGGAGGAGACTCCCACAGGTTCTTTCACCATCACAGAACAGAGATTGTCCCTGGGCATCGATGTAAACGTGAAGCCTAGAGGTCAGTTAAGAGAAACACTTTTCTTCTTGACATAATATAGAAAAAAGCCTGGGCCAGGATTCACCAATATTGCTATCAATTGCTAAACTGAATCCCATTCCTATCTGAACCTAATCTCAGTTGTCTTTTGACATCAGTTCCTGATTTTCTAATGGAGTTCTGTATTCGAAAATGCATATAAAATGTTAAGGGGAATTGCTTGCAGGAAATATGTGTGGATTAGGAAAATGCACATAAAGTGTGTATATGGGTGCAAAAAATGATAGGAATTTCCATATGCAATCATAAAGGACAAACATTCTCAATGTTCAGGATGAACTGAGTTTCAGACTGGAGAATTTCACAAAGTTTTAGATGATTTAAAGATTGTAAATATGGAAAAACAAGAGGAGAACATGGCTGGCTGGAACACTGAACGGGAACACTCTAACCTGAAATTAGATGCCTCCTCTGATTTCTGGAGGAGAAGTCAGGTGCCTGGGAAGGCATATAAAGAGTGGTGTCTGTAATGGCATAGAGAGGTTGTCCCCTGTAGTACTGATTAATTCTAGAAAAACTCTCTGTTTCAATCGATACCCTTCTGGGCAGAGAAGAGGTGGTCCACTTGGAGCACCTCTGATGTGATGCAGCATTGCAGGTTATCCATATCTCTGCTCCCACTTAAAGGGCATGGGGAGTTGTATTCTTCATATGGAAAAGAGATGCAGAAGAAGAAGAGGAAGCCTAGGCCTTCCTTACCATGCTGTTTTTTTTCTCCCTGCTCAGAAAGGGGGTAAAAAGGCAGAGGACGGTTAGTTCATCTGTTTGTTCTTACTCAACAAGGTGCAGGTATAGATTTCTAGTTTATCTTATATAAGCTCCATGGTGCAAAATGGGCAAGGCACTCCTGTTAACAATTCCCTTCATGTTATTTCATCCTGGAACTTTGCAGACACTCAGGGAAAATCCAGTTGCTGGTTAAAACAAAACAAAACAACAAATGAACCACTCTTCCAAAAATGGTCTGCCCCTTTCTGATTTCTTCTGGTCTTGTTTCATTTATGCTCTCCTTTATTCTTACCTTATTTTCATTGTGGAAAGGCAACAGAGAGCATTGAAAATGATTTAGGAAGACATCACTTCCTACAGTGTAATAAAGACATTTTCTACTATTGCCTGTGGTCAAACAAGTTTGGCAGCTTTTTGAAGAGAATCAACTTCCTGTTTATCAGAGACTCTGGGAGGAATATACCCACCAGGATGCCTGGATTCCAACATGCTACTACTCTCCCAAGAATGATGTTGAGGTTTGCCTCTGTGCTCCTCCTAGGATGCTTGTAATACTCTGATTTCAGAGTCATGGGCATCTCCTTTTCTTTTAAATGCAAGAAGCTGGAATCCCATTACCTTCAACTCCATGAACTTTTCTGCTGCAAGATAGGTTTGCAAACTTCACTGTCCACCGATCAAGTCTTCCTCTCCTTCATTGAAAATGTCTGTTTATAAAATATTGCTATATGACATTTAGGCTCTAAACAGAATTCTCTGTACTGTTTGCAACAAGAGAATGTCAAAAAGAACAATCACAGACAAATGTATACAAACAAAGCAATACAATTAAAACACTGTACAAACCTGGAGAACAAAAGTATCAGCTTTCTGCTTAAACAAAAAGACAATGTAACTTTCCTTTAAAGTGAGTTTTATAACCAGGGAGGCAAAATTCAAGTCTTTTCTGCTCCTTCCACTCTTTCTTCCTTTAATTCACAATTTACCCTTGTGATTCTTTATCTGTTGGTCACAGAAAGTCGCTTGCAATTATTTGCATGGGTCAACAAGGAACAAATCACGGAAGGAGAAACTTTGACTTTCCATTGTAATGGGAGTGTGACTGAAAATTCGCTCTCTGTAAACTGGTGGCATATCCAGAAGGATGGAGACCCTCAGATGCTCATCGCCAGCATGAATGAAGAGGGCAAGATCAAGATAGGCACGTCCTACATGGAGCGCAGTGCTCGTGGTGAGATCAGACTGGAGAAAACAGACTCTTCTGTGTTTACCTTGATGATCTACAATACTTATGCCACAAATGATACAGGGCTTTATCACTGTGAAGTGACAGAATGGTGGAAGGGCAAGAGCTGGAGACACATTCGGGAAATATCAACAAAAGTTGTACCGTTGGGTAAGCTGATCCTTTCCCTTTTCCCTGTCATATATTTACACCTATTTTGTCTAGTTATCCTGGTTGTGTGCGATGCACACCTTGCACTCTTTGCTTCTTGCCCCAAGATATAGCATTTTTGCAGGGTGGGGGACTAGAGCTCAGTGGTAGAGGGCATGCGTTCCAGGCAGAAATCCCACTTTCAAAAGCTGGCATTACCAGTAAAAAAAGATCAGCTAGATGATGTGAAAGACCTCTGCCCAAGAGCCGCTGCCAGCAGGGGAGTCAATACCACATTAGAGAAACCAGCTGGCATAAGGTCAGTAGTATTTCTGTTTTATTTGTTCATTTGTTTTGTCTAACTAGCTGTAACGCTGCCTCTGAAGATACTTGTATGCTGCTCAAAGTGCTCTGAGACTAGCCAAAGCTAATTTTGCAACACAAAGAATGTGCTACAGATGTGTATATAGTGTGCTCCTGGTACATCATTCCTGTATTCTTGGATGCACTCCAGCTGAACTGGGTTATTTCTGGATGGGCCCAGGGCAATATTTTTGTGATTTTGGCTCAGGTGACTTGGAAACAATCCAGGTCAGCAAGCATCTTTTCACAAGACTGGCGCTGATATGACAGAGAACAGTGTGGTTCCATGACATATGTCCCCACAGGTCTTGGGTTTCTAGCGAAGCAGAACTTCCCCAGCTTGGTGTGCTATATATGTTGGAGTACTAGGGGAAGTTAGGAGTTGCAGTCTGACACATCTGGGCGGGGGGGGGGCAGCAGGCTGGGAATGAGTCCTGTAGAGTTAGCACATGTACCCAAGGAAATGTAGCAACCCTCCAGTTAACATGGACTCCAGAGAAAGGACTGTTTTGGTAAAACTGAACTTCTACAGAATTAATAGGAAGGATGTACTGAACAGTTAGCATATAAAAAATATTTATTTATATCCCACCTGTTTTTGCTAGGACCCAAGAAAATAATCCTCCTCCTCTTCTTCCTGCTCCTCCTCTGCATTTTATTCTCACAATAATTCTGTGAAGTAAGAGTAGGTAACTAGCCCAAGGTCACTTGGTGAACTTCATCACTGAGTGGGGTCTAAAACCAAGATCTCCTGAGTCCCCGTCCATCTTGCTAAGCACTGTATCACCCTGGCTCTCAGGTCAGATCCTTGGCTTAGATGTACTTAGGAATGGTCCCCTCAAATAAGTGGGACATAAGACAGTGACTTAAGTCACACCAATTTCAATGTATGATTGAATCTGAATCTAAGTAAAAATAAATGCACGCATTCATTTACTTGAAATATATCTTTTAAATAACACTTTGTATTTCAATAAAAAAGGAAGTGGGCAAAACTTAATACACATGAAGATTGTGATATCGTGAGAAATGTATTGACAAGCTTTCTCTGCTGTCGATGTATTAGTGCCAATGATTTTCTCTTGATTAACAGGGTTGAATATGAAGGCAGCATTGATCACCAGGGTTCCAAATGTAAAACTACATGAGGATTTTGAATTGTTCTGCCTGGTATCTGCTATTGACAAGAAAGTGCCATGGTCCATCACCTGGCAATTCCAGTCCAGTTCAACGCTAGGTGGCTACCAGCAAGTGGTCACAGTCACTGCAGGAGGCACAATTCTATGGGGCTCAGCCCATTTACACTTCCAGAAGAAAACAAGGATTGCCAAACACTCCTCTGCATCCCAGCTCCTAATCCACAGAGCCACAGGGCAGGATGCAGGGCTGTATAAATGTGAAGTAGAAATCTGGAGAAACACAGGGCAAGCAGGAGATCCAGCTATGGCAGCAGCTGCTGTGGTTTCCTCTAATCCTGTTGAGATAATGCTCACCAAACCAGGTAGGTGCTGGGGCCATCCCTCTTTTGCTCCGCCTCTCCTTCTGCAGGTAGAAGACAATGAGCTAACTATGAGCACCTGACTATAAACTTAGATGTGCTTCCTGCCAGATATCTACATGAACACTAGGTATGAGGTGATTATGGCAGAGAGCCAGGCTACACGAAGGATCCATCACATCTGATATGTTTATCCTGTGGCCACCTGCTGTCTGCCCACCCATATGTAGAATATGAGTACACCTCTTGCTCATATGTACATAGGAACAGCATCTCCAGTGCTGGAGATAGCATATAGCCTTCAATGACTGGTAGTCATTGACAGAGTTATCTTCCATGAAGTTGTCAGTGTGCCTTATTTATATATTTATTTGGTTGCTTAGGCGATCACAGCTCCATCGCTGTCTCCAGTTTCCACTCTCACAGCATTAAAGTATACATGGACTCTGTTGAAAAACAGCCATGGCAGATGTCATCTCACCCCTTTCTCTTTCCAGCAGCTCCTTGAAGTCTTTTATTTGAGCAAGAGAATTTTTGTGATGCAGGGTGTTTCATAAGAAGGTTGTTCCCAAGTTGTATCAAAGTAATGTTCCCTCCAGTTTGTGGGAGCAGCTCTTGCCCATGCAAAGAGATGATTCTAAGCTGAAGATTCTCTCTTCCCTTTCTTTTCCAAAAGGCTTGACTCCATCCTCAGGGAGGTTTGTGCTGCTTGTGGGCCAACGGCTGGACATTACGTAATTGCTCCATGCTGGCTCAATGAGTTAATCAATTCACACCTGTCCTCCTCAGGCTCTCCCTGTTAAACAGTGTCTCCCCTTGAAGCCAAGGCAATTTGGTTCTCAGCAGCTGTCTGACAAATCTCACTTGTTAATCTTAGCATTTCCATGCCACATTCCAAACTTTCTTAGTCTGTACTTTTAAACTGGAAATGGTGTGTTTTGAGATAAAAGAGATACATTTGCATTAGGTATGGGTCGAAATCTGAAGGGACACTGCTTTTCCTATTACAGTATTCTGCGCATATATTTAATTTAACCTTAATTCACTTCCCATCCCTGCAAAAGTGATATCGCACTGCAAATGTGCAAGCAGTGTTATACCAAACAGAATAATACCAGGTTGGTCTCTTTAGGATGCATGAATGGCTAAGTGCTAATGGCAAAAGGAACACAGCACAAATGTGTTATTGCCGTTGCAGCCTTCTTTTAAAAAAAATTGGGGTTCTGCTTCCCAAGAATAAGTAATTACCAAACATGGTGGGAGAAATTGAGAGTTACTCACAGTGCATCTGACTAACCTGCGAAAACGAGAAAATGTTCTTGGTATTTCAAAAATGACTCATATTTGGGTTTAGCAGCCACTGTGGGTCAACAATGGTTTTTGCACAGATGCACATTGGCAGTCTGTGCATATAATTTGAAGCAGCTGCTGGGTTCTTTTGCATACTTGACTTGTGCTGCAGAGAGGAGAGACTGCACTGTCAGCAGCCTGGTTCAAAGAAAGAGAGGAAACTTGGAGATTGTGCTCAGTTAATTAAATTGAAGTGGCTTTTGATTTCTCCTTTCATGTCATCTCTCTTTAGCAAGGCCACCGTGGGTGACAGAAAACTTAAAAGCAATAACTTCGAGGATATTTTTTTTAAAGAAAGAGAGAGGGATTAACTTTGGAAAGACTGTAGCAGCTTTTGTAATGGACATCTTCTGATGGCAATCAGATACACCGTGCTGGAATATAATGCAAATGAAGGCAACAAGATGGTGCAGGCTTTCCCAAGTGACTGGATACCATTACAACCTTTTATCTGGGTCTGAATATTTGCAGAACACCTGACTGCAATGAAAAGACAGGCTACTGCCTCCATCTTGGTACCTAAATGGCCAGCAGTTTATTGACCCACAACCACCTGTGACCTTTGGGAATGCAGTATCATAAAACAATCCTTCCCAATCTGGTGCCCTCCAGATGTTTTGGACATCAGTTCTCAACCCCTGACTGTTGCCCATGTTGTCTGGGAATGATGCAAATTATATTCCAAAATACTGGAAAGCACCAGACTGGGAGAAAGACTGTTGTAACTTCTCTTCACTGCTCATCTCAAATGTAGCAACTTGTGAAAAGCTGGCATTTGTCCTTTCTATTTAATGCACAGAGGTTAACAGCCAAATGCCATTCTTCCATACCCTTTCAGGCTATTTCAACTTGGCAACTATGTAGGGAAAGTTAATTGAAAACCTGGGCATGCGAGGAAGGAGACATAGGCAGAGAGAGAAACAGATGATCTGGATGAGAAAAGGTCACTGAGGGAGAGGAAGGGAGAGAGCATTTCAGAGAATGCTCAATTATCTTCCAGATTTCAGGATATCTTCCTCTCCATCCTGTCCCATATAGATGATGACATTTTTGAATCCTAGCTTAGCCAAAGTTGCTATCTCTGGTTTGGTTACATTGAACAGGAGAATATAACTGTCTAACTTCTTTGTGAATTGGATTTTTGGATGAGCCTTTAGTGTTACTGCCAAAGGTTTAAGAATGGGGTACATTAAGTACTGTTCCCCCCAAGTACTCTGGGGAGCGGTAGTTTGTATGCATGTGTAGCAAATTAGATGACCTAGTTCAGAACTATCTAGCAAAGTGCGGCAAATTAATGTATAGTGGATATTGCATTCATTCTTTGGAATCCCAAAACCCAATAAGGATTTCTTTCTACAAAATCACTTTTAATGAATTACAGTCTTTATTTAGCACAGTTTGAACAAAGATGTTTGGCATACAGATTGTTCAAAAAATCAGAGGCAGGGCAAAAATTGGTTTGTTTTGTCCCCCCCCCCATCCCCACAATTTAAAATTAAATCTAATCCTATATGGGTCTTTTGATCTCCCTGCCCCATTTATTGCAAGGAACTGCTAAGACATTTTGTCTTCTGCTGACTGCTCTGGGGCCAGAGAAAGGGGATGGATACAAAGGATTGCTAGTTAATTCTAGGATAATGTGTCCTAGAGGAGTTAATACAATAACTCTAGTTTTGCATACAAAGGACCATGAGAAGAAGGAGAATATATATTAGTACTGTTCCATGATCTTGTGCATCTCTTGCACAAGTGCTAGTGTGATCTTTTGTCCTTCTTCCACCCTATCCTGCCAGGATAAGTTATGGATTTACTGTGGGGTACACTCTGAAGCAAGTGTTTTAAAAATGATCTGTATTCATACCGATCTGTATGATCTGTAATATAAGCAGGTGTGGTTTGTTCCTTATACCTGGTACAACAATTTTAATATGTAGGAGATGAATGCCCAAAGAAGGCTATTGTAGGAGCAAAACTAAAGAAAAATAAGGTCATCTCCACACTGGCAAACTAGAGATAAATTTCTGATGGTCCAGTTGGTGTAGAATTAGACATGTGAAGAACTGTGGGGGAAAGTCTGGAAAAAATGGTGGTATGCAAGGAAACAGATCGAAAACACACAGACACACACACACACACACACACACACACACACAAACTTGCACCTCAGTCCTTCTTTGCTTGTCTGGTTTTTCAGAGATTTTTGGAATTTTTCAAATCAGGGCCTTTTCCCAGATTCCGCCCCCCCCCCCCCAAGCTTCACATATAGAATAAATGGGTGTCAATTTCTGACCAGAGAAATGTACTTGCCAAATGTTTTCTATGATCACCTGCCCTTTAGTCCCCCAAAACTTCCATTCTCAGATGTAGCTTTTGAAGTCACAGTCATTTTTTACCTGAGATTTTAATAAGGGCATGAGCACTATTAACTAATTGTTCTCTTGGCCTCTTAATATAGAAAGCAAACTAAGGATCCACATGGAGGAAAAGTCTCTGGAAATCTCTGGCAGTGAAGATACAGCAATTGATTGCAAAATCATGTCGTTGACCAAAGCAAATTCTCAGTTAGGAGTTTCCTGGTATTTTCTACCACTTTCTTCCATGGATGCATCTCCTCTTCTGATTATAAGGAGCAATTATAGTAATATATTGGGATATGGGGGAGCATTCAGTTCTCCCCATCAGAAATCCAGATTTCATAGCAAGAGGGTCTCCAGCCACCTGTACCAACTGCTTATTCTGTCAGTGGATTATGATGTCCAGGGTAAATACTACTGTGCAGTAGAAGAATGGATCATGTCAATGGATGGCAGCTGGCATAAGCTTGGAAAGGTGGAATCTGGAAAAACCACAGTGTATTTCAAGCTTTCAGGTAACCAGATATTTTATATTATGCCCACTTTTAAGTATTTAATAGCCCATTTTTCAGTATGAAAGTTCACAAAGTGGCATCTAATTACAAGATATCTAGATACTAACAGTATATTAAACTACATTGACCACAATAACACAACAATAGCTTTATCATATACAATTAAAATTAAAACACAAATCTAAAAAGATCTGGGAGATGATGATAAGTTATCATTTGCGCAAGAATGGCAAGAACAGGCAAGCACTTTTGGCCAGAGAGTTGCAAAGCAAGGAGCCGTCACAGAAGAGGCCATGTCTCTTGTTTCCACCTACTTGTGGGGGTGAGCAGTGTAGAAGGAACTCTGTTATAGATTGCTATACATGCAAGAAGAGGAAGCTCCTGAGAGCCAGTTCCATGTTATTTTTCATTAATCTTCAGCATTTATACCCTGCCCTTTAGCAAAAAGTTCCCTGAAGGAACTTACAAAAACATAGCATGACTGCCCTGCCCTTAGGACATACAAGGAATAAGAAAGGGAGCACACACTGTATAATTTAAAACAGTAAAAAGAAGGGGCCCATCAACAAAGCTTCCTCACTGTCAGAGCAATATAACAGTAGAACCAGGTGCCTAGAGAGGTGGTGGGTTCTCCCACACTAGAAACATTCAGAAAGAAACTGGACAGCCACCTGGGTGGGATGGTGTAACATGGTGTCCTGCAATAGCAGGGGGTTGGACTCAATGGCCTTCATGGCCCCTTCCAAGTCTACTATTCTATGATTCTATGAAATCACAAGGCAGTTGGTTAGAAAGTCTCCTGGAAGGAGGGAAGGAGGAAGTAGCACCAGATGGAGAAAGGAGCAGTGATGGCACAGCTTGCCAGGTGCTTCTTCCTCCTCCGCTCAAAGAAGAGTTAGATGAAGATGTTACATAGGACCATGTATCTGTTGGTTTGTTTTTTTAAACCTCCTCTCTCTGCATATTTTGGCTGCGGCTGGGTCCCACATGGTTACATTAGCATCAAACATAGACGGACACAGAAGTGCATGCTGTCTTCAATGTAATACGTAGTTTGACCAGGATACAATCAGGACTTAAGCCATTTAAAGCTTTATCTCTCGGTCCTAACACTTCCATAATTGTCTGAAAACATACGACCAAAGAAAAGCTGTTTTGATATATTTGGTTCATGGGATCCCAGTATATCATCCAGCTGTTGTAGGTCTGAACCAACTGTAGTTTCCAAAAAATTCAAATACAACCTCATGTCCAACACATTGCAGAAATCCAGACAGGATGTGAAAACTTCACAGAAAATTGTGCACTTTCCTGGGGCAGTTTTTAAAGGTGTCAAATGACACTTCGTTCCAAAGGGCTGCTTGGACACCATCGGAGGAACTGTCACTAACAGCACGGCAGCAAGATTGCAACATGTAGCACAGGGGTTTTGCCACTCTTTCCTGATGGGTCATCTAACCACTCTTCATAACCCGCAAAGGAATCAGTCAAGTAGCACCTGTGGGTTCTGGGTTCTGACAGCATTGCAACCCACTGTAGCAAGTTTTCAATGCATTTTCATGTTGCAGGAATCCACTGACACTGAATGATATTCTCTCTACTTAACTGCTTTAGCAAAAAGATCTGGAAATTTCCAGTAAAAACCCTGCATCTACCACATTACTGCAAGGTGAATGGAGACATTAGAAGTGAAAGGAGTTAGCCTGGTGTGTGCTTTGTGTGTCAAGTGTGTATTTTGCCTAGGATATTTTTCTCTCCCTCCCTCCCTCCCTCTTGGGGGTGGGGGAGACGGAGATTCTTCAAGCAGCATCAGCAAAGAAGCTGACAATCAAGGGGCAATTAATGCTGTAGTTCTGGACACACACATTCTGAACTGAATTTTCCAGGTGAAATCAAGGAGATAAACTTCCTGGCTAAAGTCTTTCTAGCATTGTGTTTACAGCCTACTGAAAACAGCCACAAATAATTCTAACCTTAAAGAGCACAGAATATGTGGTTTCAGAAGAAATTGTTTAAAATAATTCTGGTTTGCCGTAGGATTTTTAAATTACTATAGTCAACTCTTTTGCCTTTCCTAAGGCACTGCTAATAACAAATGTAATTTTAAATATTTTGGATAAGTACACTTCCCAGGCAAATGTGTATGCCTCCAACACACTGCACCTAAGCAGTTCTGCTCAGGAGTATAGCCCAGCCAGTTTTTGGAAGCTGAAGCCTGATGGCTCAATTTCCTCATTGTGTTAGTCTAAATGCTTTAAGGGTGTGAGTAACCTTTAAGAAAACACTGAGTCCCCAAAAACAATTCCTAAACAGGAACAAATAGCATCAATGGCCCTTTCAGTGGATAAGAGGTGGCCAGGACCAGCTATTTCCTACAAGTCCTGGATCATATCTTGGGGAATTGAGCACTTAATACCACCAAAGAGTAGTGAGTCTGTTAGATGTGAAATATTAATCCAAATCAAACCTTTTCATGTTTAATGCTAGAAAATAAGCTACACATTGAAGGAACAGGTCTCAACATTACTGCCACTGAAAAGGAAGATGTGACCCTGAAATGTACCTTGCGGAGTCCAATAGGATCCACTTCCTATTTCTCCATCATCTGGTTTAAAGTGTCAGGGCGTTCCAAGAATGAAACCCTGGTGAAAATTCAGAGCAATGGCATCACTGAGTATGGCAATGGGACCCTGGCCAGGAGAGTGCGCCCCCACTGCCCGTCTGCTGGTGACTTTCGCCTGACGCTGCAGAATGTGGAAAGGGTTGACGCTGGGCTGTTCTACTGCCAAGTGGATAAATGGCAAGCTGCCAACTGTAGCACTGCGCAGGTTCAGCATGCATCCAGTCGATCAGAGGGCAGCCATCTTACTGTGCTTCCTTCAGGTAACCTTCATTTGACTCCTGTGTGTTTGTCTCTTTCCTTTGCCTTAGTTCTAGTGTAAAGAGATCTTGACTGTGTCAAAAAGAAGCCAAACAAAATAACTTACTCACACTGGTGTCCCCAGTGCTGTGCAGGCATTTCTATTGGGTCATCATGCAATTGGTATGCTGCCCTGGCATGTCAGCACAACAGGTACATAAGTGTGGAACAATCGTCTGGTTACTTAACTACCCTTTGCACTGCTCTTTGGGGGAAGCAGATTCCAACAACTTGGCTAATGGGCACAAAAGCCTCACTTGAAAGGTCCAAAGTGGGCATTTTATGTTCAAAGTTCTCCTGTTGGCTCTTCTAAGAAGTATAGTCTGGAGAAAATCTCTGCTGGACTAAAACAAGGTGAACGGTTGTGGTAGCTTTCTGGCACAGAATATCATGGGCTGTAGAAAATGACAATATGCCTTTTATCTCTTTGATATATTTGCCTCTCTATATATTTACGGTGACAGGATCTGCAAAGTTATGCAGCTCTCCCTAGTGGCCTGATAGAGAAGGCAGCCCAAGATTCCTTACAAGTACTGGCAAAATGAGCAGCGGACTTGAGTGGAGGGTCGTGATCACGGAATCAAACCAGGATTGGAGAAAAAGAAGAGGAAATGAGCAGGAGCAGGGCTAGGATGCAGAAGGAGGACATAAATAGGTCTTAGTCTTATGCTGTGGTGTGTGTGTTTTAATTTCAGTTAGAACAGAAATAAACAGAAGGCAGGCAGGGGAGCTCTTCCCAGTGCTGAGCTGACAAAGAGAAAAGTGAGAACAAGTATACTAGCTATGGCCACTGCAAACATTAAAAAAAAACAAACCAGTAACTGGCTCATGTTAGAAGGCATATGTAAATAGCTAAAGAGGGACGATTATTTTCTGCAGCCGCTCTCAGTCTCTGCTGGTCCAAGTTCTACAATGTCAAAATGGCTAATGAAATACATTTTTCTTTTGAATCGGGGAGTGTGGTGATTTTTTAAAAATCTGTTACATAAAGGATGAGGAAACTAGAATTTTCTCATATGAATTTTAATGTCTGATTTGTGTTTCTTTATAGTCTTGCATAGCATCTACTTGCTTGGCCTGTGAAAATTGCAGAAAGGCATTCCGGGCAGATAAAGGCAAATTATCAAGTGGTGGAAAATTGTAGTACAGACACATCTCAGTCTGTGCTATCTATTATTCAGATGGCCTTAACAGTAAATGGTTCTGCTTGAAAGTACGCACATCAGCTAGTATAAAGATTGTTTAAATCTATGGTTAACACTGTATTTAATCTTCTAGCAAATTGTGTAGCCACAGGAAATAAGAAGCTATGTTTTGTTGTTTCGTTTTGCAGAATTAACTAATTCTACCCAGGTCTGCACATCTTCTTTGCTGTTCAACTTCATTCTAGTCTACCCGCTGGTTCTATTTTTTATCCTGATGGCTGTGTTCCTCTTGTATTCAAAAACTAAACATTTTTGGAAGGAAAAACTGAATCTGAAAAAGAACAAGACTTCTAGTGAAGAAACTGGAGAAGTGACAGCAATCCACTTGAAACACAGTAGTAGAAACAGTGTATCTGAAGAAGAAATCAATAGCCTCAAAAGCAATGAAATGGATTGAAAGAAAAATGGAGAGGAGATAGACTGGGTATGCTGCCTTGGGTTCCTGGCAAGAAGAGAAAGTGGGATTAAAATTGTAATGATCAAGAAAATAAAAATAAATCCAATAGTGTATGGCTTGCAAATTCAGCTGAGTGAGAGCTAGAATGCCTATAGCTTTCCCTCCGCTGGGAACTCCTGGAATACCGAAGTCACTGTTGCCTTCTTATCTCACCCCATGCATTCAGTAAGCTTTCTGGTTCTGGGATTGGCTTCTTTACAAGAATAAGGTTTCTTGTAAAGAAACAAGGAATCCCACACACACCTACTTAAAAGAAACTTCTCCTGACCTTTACTCATGTGTAACTGCATATAAGATTGTACATTAAATCTTCACAAGATTTATATTACTAGAGCGAATATGTTGTGTCCTCATTTATTACTTTGATTCAGTCAATGGTAAATAGGGTTATACCAAAATGAATGCAGACTGTGTAGAAGTTTTTTCTCACATGTTCACCGGTGTATGATGGGCACAGCGGTTCGGTGAATAGCCACACCCTGCCATTGCACAGACCACCCAAGCCTCCTGTGGACTGTGCATCCAACACAAATATCTGAAGAAGCAGATCTTGCGTGCATCCGCCTGCCTGCACAAAGGCTTCTGTACGACCAGTTATATTAATACACATATTCACACCCAAATCAACAATGTCCTGCCGCACAAAAGGCAGCCAGGGAGTGGAGCTTCTTGGCTTGTGTGAGACCACTTGGCACAGCTCCGCTTCACTTTGCCTCACATGGTGTGTGAATGCATGAGCAATGTGCCAGAATTAATTTCAGCAAATATTTGAGAGGCACACTGAAGAATGGAGCAAAAATAACTTCTCATTCAGGGTCAGGGCATGAAATGTTGCCCTCATTCTACTTTGAATTTTTCCTTTCAATGAATGGGCTTGTCCTCCCTCTCTCTCTGGTAGGAATAACTTTTCCAGTACCTCCTTTCTTTGGTTCTTATGCTAACTCACAGCTTTGTAGCAAAACCCTGATTTATTTTATGATCAGACTGGCTTCCTATGACGTTTTATGCGAGCAGCATGGCAATTTCTAGTCTCATATATGATGAAAGTTAGACAAGAGAAAGGATGTGGCATATGCTGGACCTACAGGAGTCCAACCTTGATTCGTTTCTTGTGTTCCTCACCTTTCCTTGAGGCAGCTCATAATAGCTTTAGGAGATTCTCAGGCTTCCATCTATGTCAGCCTTTCTCAAGCTATTGTCCCCTGGAGCTGTTGGACAAAAGCTTCCATCATGTCCAGGCAGGGGAAGACTTATCTAGGTAACAGTTAAGCTAGACCTGCTTGAATTAAAGATAAACTATTTTAGCTACCTCAGGACCTCTGCGTCAGTAGCTTCTCTTCTAAGTGAATCACTCTCTCCTATAGTGAAAGTTGACAGAAGTGGAGCCACTGAGAAACAAGAGGAGAATATCAATACTGGGGGAACTTCCTGGTTTTGCAGAAGTTCTGAAGAAGTTGTGTTAGTGTCAGAAGTACCCAGGGGCAGCCCAAGGTAGTTTGCTAGCTGAGACAGAGATGTAAATGGTGCCCCAGGGTCCCAAGTCAAAATACATAGGCGTGGTAATTTATTTTGGTACTGACCCATAGGCGTGGTAATTTATTTTATTTATTACCAAAGGCGTGGTAATTTATTTTGGTACTGACCCAAGGCAAGAAAGCTCTCAACCATCTTTTTGTCTTCCTTGCCCATAAAACTAAGGGAACAATATATGAAATAACTAATATTTTTCTGCCCTTACATCAAACACTGTCGCATCCTCCTGAACAGCACTCACTACCTATGATTAGAGCCAGCCCTGTAAAACTTGGCCTCTCCTGTTCCATAGCACTGTGTTATCTAGTAAACCCAAGACTAAATGGATCTGGAGAAAGTGACTCAGATTGCTGCTGCTCACAGGGGATTCCGGCAGGTCAGTGGCAAGATGGAGCGGCAAAGAGGGCTGACAGGAGTGCTGCTGCATTTGTGCAGATAAAAAGAAGAAAGGGAAAGGCAGAGCTGTGGTCTCTGGAGCTGTCAATCCAGCATGAAATTCGTAGTCTGGGCGTGTGTGTTGTGGGTGGGGGGAAGCATTCCATTATTTTGCTGAAAAGCACATGGGAATGAAAGCGTAATGACAAGAGCAGGATGGAAAGGCACCCAAAGGGATGGTTGGTGGCAGTGTTTCTTTGTGTCGCTCTGATGGGGCTTTAATACCGGTGGATGGAGCACTGTCCAATTTGGAAGAGAAGGGCCATGACCAATCGGTGTTAAATGTGGCTATAATGTGTGAGGCGGAGGCCACTGGATAAAAGGCAGTGACAGCCTGAACTGCAGCAGATTTCATTCTCTTGGTAATGAGTGAGCCTCACAGTGGCAATGAAATGGAAGGGGAATGCCATGAGATTCTAATCCCCCCCCCCCCGCTGTTGCTGCCACTGCTTTGATCTAAAGCAAGTGCCTATTTTAAATTGCAAACGGATATGAGTAAGATGCTATCCAGCCACTGGCTTATGGGCTTAATGAACTGCGGCATACACTCCCGTCAGATAACAGTTTTGAGAGTTGGGAATTCAGAGACTGGATTACGGAAGGTATAATGCAGTCTTCCCCAACCTAATTCCTTCTAGATGGGGATGGACTGCAACTCCCATCATTCCCAGCCAGTATGGCCATGGATAGGTGGGCATTACAGTCTGACATATTTGTGAGACACCAGAAGGTTGGTCTCCTGGAGTGTGGCGTGGCTCTGAATGAAGATGGAAAGCTTGCCAGGGTTCTTCTCACCAGGTCTACATTAATAGGGTCCTTGGGTATTCCATGCTCACAAGACTCCCATCTCTCCCTTCTATTCCCTACGCTTTCTTTGCAAGCAATTCAGTGGAATTTGTAACCAGGAAATCTGAATGTTTGTTAAGGTTATTTCGCCCTGTGCATTTTTACAGTTGTGTAGCTACGAATAACTACTCGATTTATCTTTCAGCCTACATTCCTGCACATCACTGAAGGTGTGCATGCAATGAGTAGACACCACAAAAAACAAAACCTGAAAGAACAGCGTGCACTCCCTTTTTTCCCTCCGTGTGGTGAAATGGTGAAAAAAAAGGGGTTTGTGTCATATATGATTCAACACATGTGAGCTTTCAAATTCATCACACTTCTATCATAATGATAATATGTTTGTGTACGGCTCTTGACTGGGCATAGACTTGCTAGGTATAGCATTGTATTTAGTAATGGAACAACTTTTTGCAAAACTACTGTCACAGTGATTCCTTGTGAATGAAAGGGCTCTGCCACAGATTCTACCATAGTCTACCAGAAGAAGCATCTCTGACAATGAATGAAAAGCATGCACATGATTCAAGAGTGATCTATAACTAGAGGACCAGCTGATGAGGAGTTGTGCTCATTGATACTCTTTTCACGTGATGCAAACAATGAGTCATTCTGTCAATGCTTAGCTTACAAGTGAGTGTTCTAATGGAAAAAACAAAGTTATTTACAGCCCTGCGTTTCACTTGTAAAACTATTTAGGAACTGGCATTTGCAGAGGAGAATCTGCAGCAGGGGAAGAAAACAAGACCACTCATGCTTTCCTGAAAATACCTCTCAGGTCATTTTTAATTAGTATTCCTCCAGCTGAGCTCTCAATCTTGAAACTATCTCTGGCTGATGAGCGCAGTTTTGTGTGAGTCTGCTTTGCATGCACCAAGATGGTGACTACGGGTGAACTTCTCTGTGGAGACTTTTGTCATGGTGGCAGCATTTAAATATTTGATCCTGTGGCAGAGTGTACCATTCTTTCTCATTTCATGTGAACCTGCCAAGGGTGGGTTGTTGGGGTGAGTAACAAGCCACCCACAACCCTAAAACAGCTCATAGATTCTGGGTGACTTGTCAACCATCTGAACAAGTCAATCTCCCTGGGTTTTCAGTTATGGGGCACCTCCCTCATGGCCCAAATATTCAAAATGGCCACCACCAGTGCAATGAGAACCTCCATATGCACCCATGGTAACTTCCTGTCATGTGCGAACCAAGTCACAGACTCAGGACAGGAGACATTCAGTGGGAAGAATTGGCAAGCACTGAAGGGGTTAAATACCCTTCCATTCCTTCAATTGTTTCCTTCCTTCACACTTCTAGGGTTTCACTCTCCCATAATAAGGATCCACAAGTGAGTACTCAGGATACATTCAACCCAAGTGTAGGAACAGATACTGCAGATTGTAGCTGAAGGTGGTTCAGTAGTGTTAAGAGATAATGCAATGAACTTACTGAAATGAGAGGGTAAAACTGGATGTTACATGGACAATCCTTGGTAAGGAATTCAGATGTTTGCTTTTTGATTAACAATCGCTGCAAGGTGAAGGTATCTTTCATGTTCCCTCCTCCACAGCTGCAAGTACCAATTTGGGGGTGTTATTTAAACAGGAAATCCTACACACACACACACACACACACACACATGGACGAATGGACAAATGGACGAACGGATGGATGAAGAAAGATTAACCTCTCCCGAAAGCACAGTCCCAATTTGTTTCTTTCTTATTTCTGCCAGTTGTTTGTTATTTGAAAACAAAACATGTCATAGCTTGAGTATATTCTTATTCTGCTTGGGACATTTAAAAACAGTAATTGCTGACCAATGTTACTTTTCATAAGATCTGGTGATGTCTTTTCAGTGTTTTGTATGAGTCTCCACTAAGGCAAAGTTCCCTGTATCTTCGTATTCTATGCTATAGAGCACTGTGGACTTCTGTTCTGCAATGAGTTATATGGGACAGCCAGAGGGGACAGAGGGGCAGGAGTCAGATTTCTCAGTCTAGAAAGTGAACTGCTAGGGAAGTCCTATAGCATTAGCTGTCAACTCCCTTGCCCGCTCTCTCCCACTTTTGGGTTAGCAGCTGGTACTCCTCAAGGGGACATACTTGGTCAAGAAGGCTGCAGTCAGCAATCTTTATTTAGAACTTCCTGTTCTATACCACTACCATGTAAGAAAAGTTCGGAGACAGGGGACCCCCCCCCCACCTTCTCAGAGGATATTATATCAAACATAGGTGGATATACTCAATTTTCATTGAAGTAAATGTGTATACAGGCACAGGTATAGAATTAACCAAGTGTTTAACTGCTTGAGTGGATACAGCACCCTCAAAGAAGGGTGCACTTCATTGAAAAAAAGACCTACATTTGCCTAACTTATCCAGTCATTAACCGACTTGCTCCTTGGATCAAGGCAGTGATAATTTCTTGTTTGTACAAATGCATTAGGCTAGGATATTTCAATCAGAGAGCACCAAGTACTAATAGACTCTTCTCATTAATGGCAAGTGTAGTCGCCAG